TCGATACTTGATCTATCTCTTACTGTTACATCCCCGGGCAACGCCGGGCTCTACTGCTAGTTTTTAATAAAAATAAAGAATTGTACGATCACGCGCTCCCAAAAAGTGGCCTTAAAATAAACTATCCTACTTAAATCGAAGTCGATGATATGGATTGTAAGCACAAAAATAGGAAAAGAAAAATCATATGGTTCAACCCCACCAACTTTTGTAAGTTGTCCAACACTAATATCGGACAAATTCTTCTGAAGTTAATAAATAAACATTTTCACAAAACAACCCTCTAAATATGATCTGCAATAGGAAAACTATCAAAATAAGCTATTCCTGTACAAATAACATGTACAAAATTATCGACTCACATAAAAACTACATTCTGAGTAAATGTTATGGGATCAACAATAAACCTGGTATGGACCCCTTTTGTAATTGTAGAAATAGCGAACAGTGTCCAGTCGAAGGAAAATGTAGAGCTTTGAAGGTTATTTAACGAGCAAATATTTACTCCCAAAGAAAATAAGTTAAACCACAATATTTACTTTGGAATTTCCGCGGGGGAATGGAAACAAAGACTTTACACTGCTAGGCACTTTTTTTCCAACACCAAATTAAAATAACAAATTACTCTTTCCCAAAAAAAATTGGAAATTTAGGGAGAAAGATCTGAACCCTCAAATAGAATGGAAAATCATAGGTTTTGCTCAGACTATTAATAATTTTAAGGGCAGATGTAACCTTTGGTTAGAAGAGAAGAATAGGTTAATAAAATAAAATAATCAAAGTATACTATTAAACTAGTTACCAAATGCCGTCACAGAATTAGGTTTAAACTGATCAAAAACATTATTGATCTTGTTTAATCTGTCTTCTTCTAATAAATATATTGTTATTTCTATTCCATTTCAATACTATCTGATAACCTTCCCCCAACTTATGTTTTTTTTTTGCCATTAATTTATATAATTTAAATACATGTTATATTTTTTTTCTCCTATTCCGTTCCTTATTATGATATTTTATCAGTATTTTCATCTTCTTAAATTTTAATACTTCTTAAATTTTAAATCTTTTTAATTGCCTTTTGTTTATATGAACTATATATTTAGGGTTATTATTTTCTTATTTTTTGCCAGCATGAATTTAGGAAATTTTTTTCTTAAAAAAGAAGAAAATATATATTTTTGTTCTTTGATTTATAACTAATATTTACTATTTGCTATTTTAATATTTAAAATAGTTTGAACTCCTGCCTGACGAGCCTGGTTAGTACGAAGATTGTTGGCCACTTCACATATCAGGTGCTGTAAGCTTCTTTTTCCGGGTGGAGTAATGTGCTTACAACGATATGAAACACTGGTTCTCGTACGATCACCAAAGTTAAGCAACAACACGCCTTGTTAATACCAATTGGGTAACCACCTGAGAATACCAGTGTGCGGATGGGATAAATGGCTTACGGCCGCATCACGTTGAACCATCGATTCTCGCACGGTCATCGAAGTTAAGCAAAGGCAATCCTGGTTAATATCTAGATGGGTGACCAGGTCCTGCAAGTTTGGATGTACGGGTGGGGTAATGGCTCCGAATAGTTAATCGGAGAACTGTGTTCCAGTTATGTGTTCGTTATATTCACTTATACTCAAATACTTTTCGGACATAAATTAAACCACATCTTTCTCTTTCAGCTATGGGTTGATTAGTAAAACTTATCTTCGAAAAAAATATTGTAATCTAAATATATTTTCTGGCTTTAAATAATCTGCACAGGGTTGGTGAGCCGTAAAACCGAAACAATTAATCAATCAAAGTGTGGGTGAGCCTTCTGGTAGGGTCAATGGTCATCCAGAATATTGTTGAATGGGTGTGTGTTGGGGCCCTTTTACTTCGTTAAGAGGGATAGTGTGATATAAGACCTGCGGTTCACTAGCAATTGATTATGTAGACTTTATTACCTTTTTGGATTATTGCTTTTAATTCTCAGAGAGTTGCTTTGACCCAGCACCATTTATTTCCCATGATAAAAAAATGATGTCATGAACATGATGAAAAACGTCATCAGTGCCACATGATATTATAAGATATTACTAAATGATTTTAAAGTCTGACCATAGCCTAAAACGAGTGATCAACTCTATGATGTCAAACCATGTTGTTGAAACAAAATATGGCACGGCATTTCAGTTAGCGATCATACCAACCATTCATACATTGTCAAAAGAGCCTTTTTACGTCATTAATGATTTGAAGGTAGAAACGTCGGAGTAATGGAATCGGAGAGCCGAGTTCGAATTCCAGTTGAGTTCATTACATTCACTTACGTGCTAATACCGTTGCTAAAAGCAGAGACCTATCTTATAGCAATTCGCAGTACAAGGTGAACAAAAAAAAACAAAACAAAAACAAGACAGACTGGGACATATATAGTCTCTGTTGGTAACCAACCTAGGAAAAAGAAAACTCTGACTTCAAACAACCTGTTGCGTTGTAGGTCCTGTCACTTTAACCTCCGAGTGGAGGGATTGGTTAACCTTAACATCCCCAGTGCAATGGAACCGGCATGCTATTGCCTTATCCTGCGTCTAATGTCACCAGATCCCACAACTGTGACGTGGAGGGGAGTGGTGGCCCTGATGGTGTAAAATGCATTATTTTTTTAAAACATTTCACCCCAAGCAAGGTGGGAGTGTCACTAGCACGTAAGGGGTTAAAGAGTTTGGGAGCAAGAGTAAAAAGGTGCGATCGTGGAAAGGATGAAGAGAAAGACGCGGAACAGATCAAGGCATCTGGAGATGTCGATTGACATTGCATTTGAATAGTTATAGATTATAGCTATCGGGGAAGTAAGAGGAGTGTGGTTCCACAGTCGGGAAGTGCGAGTCATGAAGCTATTGCAGTAGAAGAGACGGTTACATTTAACCGTTTCGACAGTGAAAAGGGTGGGACTGAGATGCCGACCTAGTGGCACGTTTAAATTCATGTTGTTTTGGATCCAGCGAAAATAGCTCGTCAGAGCAGTTACCGTGAAAGACAGAGTGGGGTCGATGGCACGTCTGTGAGAGAGCGACTGTAAATGAGAAGCCAGATCAGGGCCAAGCATATTGCATATCCGTCTCTGAATTTTGTCGAGGACCTTAAGACGAACATCGGGGGCTCCGGATCATATATGACAGCAATATTCCATGCAAGGTCGAAGGGTTGATTTATAGATGTGAAGGATGGACTCGGGCGAGAAAAACTTTCTGTCTCGACACAAGTATCCAACTTTCTTTGTAGTAGTTGAATCTATTGATTCAATGTAATTGTCCCGTTTCAGATCAGCGGACAGTGTGAGACCAAGCAGTCGCAAGGAGGTGCCCTCGTGGATTTGAGCATCAGATATCCTAATGGGAGACAGGGAGAGCTCTCTGTGGTGGGTAATAGAGAGCAGTTTTGTTTTTGAGGCATTAAATTTAATCAGCCATTTCCTGCTCCAGTCAATAACTGATTCGAGGTCCTTTTCGAGACCAGTAGTCAGGTTAGTTTTGTCAGCGATACCCGATTTGCGATTTAGGCAAGAGTAAATAGTGGTATCGTCTACATAGATACCTACTTGGGAACTGATGACATCGGAAAGATCGTTAATGAAGATAAGAAACAGTGTAGGACCCAGGATCGAGACTTGGGAACAACTGCGTTCGTGAGAAAGTAACTGGAAGAGAATCCATTAAGGACGGCCTTCATTACACGGTTTGACAGGAATTATCGTTCTGAAATTCAGTATCCCTAAAGCTTAGTAAGCAGGCCGTCATGCCAAACACTATCAAACGCTTTAGAGATGTCTAGAGCCACGGCTCGAGCTTCTTGAATAAATGATGTTGAATGATCTCAAAATGGCTACCTTTCGAAATATTTAAGATTAGGGAAAATGGAAAATCAGAAGGTGCTAATGGCAAGTGCGACACTGAGATCCGTAGACGTACTGGTATGGCCAAAGACACATTCCAAAAGCTGGGCAGAGTATTGCGAGACAGGAGGATTTCTTTGGTAACAAAGAAAAGAATACTGAGCTGTTACGTGACATCTGTTCTTCTTTACGGCAGCGAACGTTGGACGATTTCCTCAAAGATGAAGAAGAGACTCGAGGCGACGGAGATGTGTTTCTGGAGAAGGATGCTAAGGATATTATGGGCCGAGCATGTGAACAACGATGAGGTCTTAGATGGGTTGCAAAAAAGGATAAAGCTTATACTTAACATCTGAAAGAGGCAGCTGAAGTTTCCGAGACACATAATAAGGAAGGAGGGCCTGGAGAATCTGATACTCACGGGTCGAATAGAGAGAAAGAAAGACAAGGGAAAGCAGCGCGTAACATACCTGAGCAGGTGGATGACAGAACGTGATCTGGGGGAGGAAGCAGAGGGAAGGAACTCCCTCGGAGCTGCAAGGGATAGAGGGAGGTGGAGAGCCATGATCGCCTACGACCTCAAAGGACATGTCACATAAACAGAAAAGAAGAAAACTGACGATTTTCAATCAGATTATTGTTGCTGTCAATGGTCGATCGCTCGAGGATCTTGAACTGCATCGATTTTCCTCACAAACTGATATTGGGTCTCTGCCGGTCCGTTCGTTATCAGAAATCCCACCTCGTCGTTCTTTGTAAACGAATTATCCATATGTAAAGAACGGGGAATTGCGTGCATTGGTCTTCCATTATTTTCGACAGATTTACAGCGAAGAGTACAAGCATTACACATTAGATTCTAGGGCATCTCTCAGTTAGACTGCATCACAAAGGACAGGATGCCATTACACAAGAAGCAGGCCCGATGGAAGGTCTCCTATCTCTCTACATAAAAAGGAAAATGTTGAAATGTCATGGCCTCGTCATAAATGTTAATAATCTAGCCACTAACATCCTACAAGGTAACATTTTAAGCAAAAGAACAAGTCACAAGCAGAAAAAAAAATTAGGGTCAATATCAGTGAGTGAACTGAAAGATCCTTTACAAAGAGCATAAGGCCATATCATGTTGAAACAGCGGTTCCCGTATGATCACCGAAGTTAAGCAACAGCGATCCCGGTTACCACTTAGATGGGTAACCACTTGTGAATAGCAGGTGCTCTAAGTTTGGATGCGCTGGTGGGGAAATGGGCTTACGGGCATATCACTTTGAAACACCGGTTTTCGTATGATCACAATAGTTAAGCAACGGCGAGCCTAGTTACCATTTAGGTGGGTGACCGCTTGGTATTACAAGGTACTGTAAAATTGGGTGTGATGATGATGATGAAGGTGGTGATGCTGGCGGTGGTGGTGGTGATGATAAGGATGATGATAGTGGTTTAGGTGTTGTTGATGATGTGGATGACGATGATGCTGGTGCTAGTGATGATAATGAGGATGGTGGTGGTGTTGGTGGTAATGGTGATGATGATGAAAATGAGGATGGTGGTAGTAGCTGTGGTGGTGATGGTGATGTTGATCATGGAGGTGGTGATGATTATGAGGATGGTGGTGATGGTTTTAACGGTGGTGGTCGGGGTTTTGACTTTGATGATGATGGTGGTGGTAGTGGTTGTGATGATGAGAGTTATCATGATGCAAGTGGAGATGATGATGATGATGGTGATGATGATGGTGGTGGTGCCGCTGTTGATGATGATGATGACTGTGGTCGTTGTGGCCATGTTGGTTGTGTTGGTGGTGCTGTTGATGATAATGAGGAAGATTTTGGCAGTGGTGGTGCTAATGATGAGGGGAAGAATGATGATGGTTGTCGTGGTAGTGATGACGAGGATGATGATGGTAGTGCTGCTTGTTCTGCTCATGATGATTTTATTGATGATGATGATGATGATGATGAAGGTGGTGGTGTTGGTGTTGATAGTGAGGTTGGTGGTAGTGAAAATGATGAGGATGATGATGATGCTGGTTATTGTGGTGTTGATAATGAGGATGACGATGGTGGTTGTGACGTTTGTAGAAGTGATGATGAAGTTGGTTCTTGTGGTCGTTTTGATGATGAGTGTGATTCATATATATGAAATCGACTATTACACGAGTAAGACTACCAAAATAGCATAAAAATCAAACAAATAATTTTAATAATGTCTAAATACATAACAGCTTTCTAAGTTTTCTTGACTTTTAATTGCCTTGTTTTCTTTGAGCTCTAATTTTTACTCCGTTCCATTAATTTAATTTTTTTTTGTTTTATTCGAGTTCGACACGTCAAAATACTCCATCAAAGTCCAAACGTAAACGCGAGAGGCGAAGTGATGCGTAAATGACAAAATGGCGGAAGAGACAGGCGACCGACGTCGAGACGTAGAAAGAACACACAAAGAAGAAAAGAAAAGAGCGAGCGATGCGATTGGTTGCTTGTTGGGGAAGTTGATCAAATGCGTGTAGGAAAATAAGAAAGAATAATTTTGAAAGTCAAATCGTTTTAAGAGCGCCCTGCGTGGGCGGAAATTGTTTCTGCGAAAGGTGTTTTAGAATCAGATTATATATTTGGATGTGTCATCATGAATATGTATGGAAGAACAAAATCTGTGGAAGAGGAATCGAAATAAAGGTGAAAGCTTCAAGAATTCCGACAGATCTTAAACAAAGGAGGATCGAAGAAAGAACAGAATTAGTGGTAAGAAATTTGGTAACAACGACTGCAGTAAAAAAAATTGCAATAGCAGAAACAAGTTCGGGGATAGGGTAAAAAATTAAAATCAAATCAAATGGAAATAATTGGAGAAGGGTTTGTACAGAGGAGGGAAGAAAAAAAGGAAAAGAAAAGTAGGGAACGAGAAAAGGAAGGAAGAAGGATAAGGAGTATATGGCGACCACATTAGAAAAAAATGAAAGAAAGAAGATAAAAGAAGCAGAAGAAAGAAAGAAAGAAAGAAAGAAAGAAAGAAAAAGGAAACGTAAAAAAGGATTAAGAAAGAAAGAAAGAATGAAAGAAAGAGGAAACGTAAGGAAAGGATTAAGAAAGAAAGAAAGAAAGAAAGAAAGAAAGAAAGAAAGAAAGAAAGGAGAAAACAAAGGAAGAAAGATAAAGGAAAGAAGGAACAAAAAACAAAGGAAAAAAAGAGAAAATAAAGAAAGGAAGGAAGAAAGAAAGGCAGAAAGAAACAACACTAAAAGATTAAGCGAAACATAAAAAGACAAAAAAGAATAATAATGAGAAAGAGAAAAAGAAGGCAGAGATAAAAGAAGAATAAGAAGAAGAAAAAGAAGAAGAGAAAATTAGAAAAAGAAAGAAAGAAAAAAGTGAAAGAAAGAAGCGAAAGAAAGAGGCGAAATAAAATCACAGAGCTTTAAGTTCAGAGCTGGTGGAACTATGAATTGTGGGTCTTAGCTGTGAATTCATGTCTGGTAGAAATAATTATTGTGGGTCTTAGATGTGATATTCAGGTTTGGTGGAACTAAGAATTTTGGGTCTAATCTGTGAGGTTTTGGGCTGGTGGACCTAAGAATTGTAGGCCTTAGCTCTGAAGTTCAGGCCTGGAGGAACTATGTATTGTGGGTCTTTGCTGTTGGGTTCAGGTCCGGTGTAACTAAGAATTGTGGATCTTAGATGTGAAGATCAGGGCAGGTGGAACTAAGAATTGTTGGTCTTTCCTGTGGGGTTCAAGACTGGAGGAACTAAAAATTATGCGTCTTAGTTGTGAATTTTATGTTTGGTGGAACAACGAATTGTGTGTGTTAGCAGTGAAGTTCAGAGCTCTTGGAACTAATAATTGTGGATCTTAGCTGTGAAGTTCAAGGATGGAGGAACTAAGAATTTTGCGTCTTATCTTTGGGTTTCCGGGCTGGTGGAACTAAGAATTGTGGCTCTTAGCTTTGAAGTTTACGGCTGGTCGGACTAAGAATTTTGTGTCTTAGCTGTGTGGTTAAGATGTGGTGGAACTCAGAATTTTGGGTCTTAGATGTGAAGGTCAGATCTGATAGAACTAAAAATTGTGGGTCTTAGCTGTGAAGTTCACGGCTGGTGGAACTAAGAATTGTTGGTCTTAGCTGTCAAGTTTATGTCTGGTGGAACTAAGAATTGTGGGTATTAGCTCTGATGTTCATGTCTTGTGGAACAAAAGTTGTGGGTCTTAGCTGTGATAATCCTGGCTGGTTGAACTAAGAATTGTTGGTCTTAGCTGTGAAGTTTATGTCTGGTGGAACTAAGAATTGTGGGTATTAGCTCTGATGTTCATGTCTTGTGGAACAAAAGTTGTGGGTCTTAGCTGTGATAATCCTGGCTGGTTGAACTAAGAATTGTTGGTCTTAGCTGTGAAGTTTATGTCTGGTGGAACTAAGAATTGTGGGTATTAGCTCTGATGTTCATGTCTTGTGGGAAAAAAAGTTGTGGGTCTTAGCGGTGATAATCCTGGCTGGTTGAACTAAGAATTGTGGGTCTTAGCTGTGAAGTTTATGTCTGGTGGAACTAAGAATTGTGGGTATTAGCTCTGATGTTCATGTCTTGTGGAACAAAAGTTGTGGGTCTTAGCTGTGATAATCCTGGCTGGTTGAACTAAGAATTGTTGGTCTTAGCTGTGAAGTTTATGTCTGGTGGAAATAAGAATTGTGGGTTTTAGCCGTGATGTTCATGTCTGGTGGAAGTTTAGGACTGGTTGAACTAAGAATTGTGGGTCTTAGCTGTGAAATAAGGGTTGGCGGAACTAATTTGTTGGTCTTAGATGTGATGTTCAGAGTGGGCGGAACTAAGATTTGTGCGTCTAAGCTGTGAAGTTCAGGGCTGTTGGAACTCATAATTGTGTGTCTTAGCTGTGAAGTTCAGGGGTGATGAAACTGAGGATTGTGGGTCTTAGCTGTGAAATTTAGGGCTAGTGGAACCAGGATTTGTGGATCTTATCTGTGATGTTCATGTCTGGTGGAACTAAGTATTGTAGGTCTTAGCTGTCACGTTTAGGCTTGATGGAATTAAATTTGTGGGTCTTAGCTGTGAAATTCAGGTCTGGTAGAACTACGAATTTTGCGTCTTAGCTGTCAGATTCAGGTCTTGTGGAAGTAAGAATTGCGTGTCTTATCTGTGATGTTCAGGTCTGGTGGAATTAAAAATTGTGGGTCTTATCTGTGATGTTCCGGACTGGTGGAACTACGATTTTTGGGGTCTTAGCTATGATGTTCAGGGCTGGTGGAACTAAGAATTGTGGGTCTTCGCTGTGAATTTTAGGTCAAGTGGAACTCAGAATTGTGGGTGTTAGCTGTGTTGGTCAGGTCTTGTCGAATCGATTATGTGTCTTCACTGTGATCTTCACAGCAGGAGGAAAAAATACTGGTTCTTATATCTGATGTTCATGTGTGGTGGAATTGAATTTATTCTATTATGCTAATTATCCTTTGAGCCTACACGGGCGTTCACCATTTAATCTTACGTCCATATCATGTTGAAGCTCCAGTTCCGGTAGGATCAGTATAGTTAAGCAAATTTGAACTTTCTCAGTACCTAAATGGGTGGCCGTTTGAGAAATCCAGGCGCTATATGCTTTGGATGTGCGAGTAGTGTAATGGATAATGACCACGAATTATTAATTTGAGAGCCAAGTTCCAATTCCAGTTGGGTTCGTTATATTCTCTTCTGCGCATATAAACTTGAGAAAGGTATGAATCCACCACTTCCTCCCCAGCTATGGGTTAATTAGTAACTCATGTATCAGTAAACCATCTAAAAAAATTCTTTCGATCTATATATAAAAAATTTCTTTCGATATATTTCCAGCTTTAAATAACCGGCAATGGGTTCATAAGCCGTGTAAATGAATGAATCTAGAATTTAACTGGTCTTGTTTATTACTTTCTTGATGTGAATCTAGCCACCTTCCTCATCAGAAACAAAACTGATATTGTTGCTGATGGTGCGATGACTGTACTGGTTTACATCATACAAGTAACACACATAGAGTTGCATTTTTTTTTATAAATCTGTTTTGATAGATTTTCAGAGTTAATGATTTAAAGTTTTTATTCGTTTACCCATGACATTGACAAATGAGTTTGTCGTTAGTTGGCTATGACGAATTGGCAAGACTATTGATCAAGCGCAAGAAACACATCGTCAGTGTTTTGTTAACGAAGACCTGTGCAGAAGGATCAAAGTGTGCACAACATAGGTTACATGAAACTTATTACCGAATCTTTATTCTTCACTGTCCAGCAAAACAGCTCAATGAGTTCATGAAGAAAGCGAAATAAAAGAGCTTCCGATATTAACCTTTATCATGTTATGAAATGCATTTATCTTCGGGCCAAGAATATTTTTTGACTCAAGAGAAATGTCGAAAAAGTCAGCTGCTTTCATCTAGTGTCTAAAAAGAATGTTTTGCTATTAGAGATTTGGTCGTTTTACATAGCATATAGATACGGAAATTATTCAATATTTCAATCAATATATTCAATAATCTTACTTATTATAAAACGCAGATTGTGTGTGTGTGTGTGTGTGTCTGTATGTTTATATATTGGATCGGATTTCCTACATTTTTCAACCGATTTCAGCAAAACTTCACAGGACTACGTAAAATTACCTTGCGGTGGTTCTAACAGTGCCCCAAATTGGAAAAACAATTGTTTTTGCATGAAATCAATTTGAAAACACGATTAAGAGGCATCACGAGAATGGAAGGGGGACAACTCATATCGAGTTATATTTATTATAAAACCCAGATTGTTTGTCTGTGTGTGTGTGTGTTCAATTATATATGGGATCGGATTTCCTACATTTTTCAACCAATTTCAACAAAACTTCACTTTTTTTTGGCAGGTAGTGTTTCTTATTGTCTTGCACACTTTTTTCTTTATTTTTACATTCAGAATGCTTTAAAAATTCCATTTAAAAGACAATTGTTTATAATAAAATTCTATTCAATTGGTAGACTCATAACGATTGAAAACAATGTTTTTGTTTGAGTTTGGGTTTGACCAATTCGTAAAAGAAAAAAAAAATAATTATGACATTCGTGGCCGTCAACCTTAAACAATAATCTTTGTCAATTTTATTTTTCAGTCTTTATGATGGTTGATACTTGATCTATCTCTTACTGTTACATCCCCGGGCAACGCCTGGCTCTTCTGCTAGTTATAACGTCATGTGGTGTACGTTGTAATATATTAAGCTTTCCGAAAAATAATGTTCGATTTTAGAACCAAATTTTATTCCTGAATATAATATATTTAAACAGTGTTTAAATCAATTAAAATAGGAACGCTGAACATCTATATTTTTATCTGTCATCGAGTTAATATTTTATTTATACTTTTACGCTTAACCTCTAAAGATCTGGACGCCAAGAATTCTTTGAATGTCGTCTCTAAATCTTCTTTGCAACGGAATGCCTTTTGGCTTAAAAATTATTAAGATTCTGAATAAATCTTAATCAGCTAAATATTGTGGATGTGGCAGAGTTTCTTAACACAAGTCGGCGAGCTTTTCTACCAACATTTTGTCGTAAATTGGTTCTTCTCGATTAACTGGTATCGGTCGCATTTATTTAATTAACTGTGCACATCACCCAGTTGCTGACAGTAAAATTTGGCAGTGATTCTCTTGTTAACGAATGGCTGACCGATAGACTCCATATAATTTTCTGATGGTGCAGTTTCGCATTTGGATGGTATCTTGGTATTTCATCATGATCAAGCCATTGTGCCAAATATTTATGATTGATATAAAGGATTCATTCCTCATTACAAGTCACTATTCGATCAAGAAATAAATCATTTATGTCGAGTGAATGTTAATTTTTCTAAGTCTTCTTTCTTTCAATATAAAGACGTACACATTTCAAATATGGTCCGATTTCAGAATCAACTTTTATTTCTGCATTTAAATAGTGACTAAATGACTGAAAATTGGAACTCTGAACATTACTCTAAACGTTTAGACTCCAAGAAATCTTTGAAAGCCGTTTGTAAATTTTGGGGGATTGGTTAAAAATTGTGAAGATGCTTCAAGTTTGGTAGTCAGTTGACGATAGATCTGTAAAATATGGTGGACGAGGCAAAGAAACGAATCTCAACACTGGGAGCAGTACCATACCGGTAACACACGGATAAACATTGTCATGAATACGAAATGGACCTCGCTGATTTTGAGTTACATTTTGTTGGATAGATTCTAGCCGCTTGC